GTGCTTATTTGTTGTTGGCTGGGATAAATACTTCCTTTTCACGAAAGCGAAGACAATATTTTAGAACATGAAAGTGAAGAATCTGTCATCTGCAGTTCGTAATAGACAATTGAAGTCTAGCTTATGGCATTAGTAAGCATTCACTCTTTTTCTGATTTCCCCGGGACAACAATTAGCGTCACTGCTACTACTGTGTTATGTGGAAATGTAAATGGAAATCTCAGTCCACTGATACAGGATTTAGAGAATCTGTCTCCCACGAAGTATCCAAATTTGTACCCGTCACTTTGCTGCCTTCTCATTCTCTCCCCATTTCTTACAACTCCATAACTTGATTGGGCCCACTCTTATCCAACAATTCATTTTACACCCTTATGCAGAAAAATACAGAAGCAGCACAGCCTCCTTTAAAAATGCATTCACACCACCTCCCCTGTGCGGTTCTTTGGATGCAAGATACCTATCAGCCTGATAGAGAAATTTCTCGATAATATTAAGTTACATGTTAGTTCTGTAGTGTTAACCACATCTCTAAACCAGGCACACAACATCTTTATCCTGCACAATCCATCATGCTGTAATGAGTGAAGCATGGAGGCCAGTCGTGTTTTAATTAATATTTGTAATAACTTGAATGATTGGAATTTTTTATGGAATAAAAACAAAACAAAGTATCAGTGTTAATTAGGGATGCTTCGCAATGCATGGGGATTTTAGATATTATTTCTTGAAAGGGGAAGTTCTCTTGGCGGAGAGAAAGTAACTCACTTATAACTGTTATCTGCCTCAGAGTTATTGTCGATCTTGCCATCCCTTGTGAGATACAAGGCCCACGTGTTTTCAAAGGGTTTACTGTTGGTTTTCACCCTCGATCTTGGGAAATTGTAAGATACTATTGTCATTTCAAGTTGGCTTAGAAAGAAAAGTTCTTTGATTGAATTATTTAAGAGAATGTACCTTGAATAATACCACAGGTTTACAATGGTTTGACTCAATTAGGCTATGAGAAGCCACACCGTGCATTCAGGTAAAAGTTCATCGCCTTGTATCCATCCATTATATTTTGTCTTTGCTATTTGATAATGATAGAAGATCTATTTATCCAAGTTCACGTTTATTTCTTTAGCTTTAGCACGGAGCAGACTAGTCTGGTTCTTTATATGACTGCAATTGCATCACTTTCCTCTTTTGTACAGAAACCGATTATTCAGGTATTGAGTTCTCAGTTAGTTGAATAATAAACTGAAAATTGGTATTCTTTGTAGCTGATGCAATTTGATCAAACATTTGCAGGTTTTTCCAGAAAATGGACTAGAGGTGAAAGTATCGGGCTCAGGGGCAACTGGGAGCTACCCTACAACTTTGTCACCCTCGATGTTGATGATTGACTGGAGATGTATGGGTGTTTTTTTTAAAATTTTTTTTTATACAATGGAATTCTCGATTAATTATTTATGATAATCCTCATATTGTCTCAAACCTGTAATTATCTCAGGTGACATTGCCAGGGACGTTCCATATGCTGTTAACGTCACAATCCCTGTGGCTGATTATGAACCAATTAATTTTTTTCTTGCCAAAATGTGTGGTGAGAATCTCTCTCTCATGCAACATACCACCCATGCATTCCTTTAAATTGAAGTTGTCGTAGGAACTAAATTTAGGGTCATCCAGGAAATACAACAGTGTCTAACATGATTGTTCTTTTTTTAAAGGCGTGAAAGCTAAACCTAAGTCTACCTTTGAGTTTCATATTTTGCAGAAAAAAGGCAAGACGTACAAGGAGATTACATGCAAGGATGGGCCACATTTGGAATACTCTCTTGCTTGTATGTCAAGTCTTTCTTCTTAATCTTCTGCATATACGCAAGTTTTAGTATCTAGATCTTCAGGTATTAAAACAGTTTGGGTGCTGTATAGTCTGGATAACTTTCTGCAAAGTAACTGGTCTCCTGGTCTACCTCTGCATGCTTTGGGGGGCTTATAAAATATTAAAATGATCTAGATGTGCCCATTTGTTGTGGCTTCATTTAAGTGGCATGTTCAGCTGCAACCTCTTGCTCTATTTGATCAACTAGAAAATAAGTCGTACGTTAACCTTTCAATAGCCTGTTTAAAATATTTTTTTTTTATGGTTTTGATGCCTTAAAAAATTGTGCATGAGCAGATTCATAGTCGGATCGTCGCTATTTTGCTGTGGAGGATTTGTTTACAAGACCCAAGTGCAAGGCCAGGTAAGCTACCTTTCAATGTCATTGCGGTTAGACATTTTTTTTCCTGTGAAATGTACCGTTATTGTTCGATACTTATGTCTGTAGCGTGGAATTGATGCATTGCCGGGCATGACATTACTATCCGCCTGCTTGGAAACTGTAAGTTTGCAGCCCCCTTTTTGATGTAAAGTTTAGTTATCTTATTTCTTTTTCTTTTCAATGCAACCATTATTTCAAGAAACCAAAAAGTTTCCTTCGGTGACATCTTGTCCTGTTCGTTGGCAATTCTTAATTCACTATTACTGACTAGATCATGTATATACATCATCTCATCTTAGGATTTTTTTTCCCTGTATTGAAATGAATCCCCTGGGCCGATTTTATAGCTACTTTAGTTTTAGTTTTCAAGTATTTTTAAATTTTAGCTTACCAATGTATTTCCCTTTTATTTCAACGTCTTTAAAATGTAAGCCAAAATTTTTTAAAAAATAAAAATAAAATAAAACTTGTTTTGTTTTCGGAATTTGGCTAAGAGTTAACATGTGTTTGTAAAAAAAAAACATATTTGAAACATACCATAGAAATGAAGGGGAAGTAGGCATAATTTTTTAAATAAAACAGAAGAGTTATCAAACCAGTTCTCGTAAGTTTTATTTCTTCTCATTGTTCATGTATATTTAGCAGAATATTGCGTAACCTTCGGTGTGAAACTAGCTTATACTGACAGTGTCTTTTCAAGGCTTGTATTTTCTTGTCAGGTCTAGCAATCACTTGTTATAATCTACCGACTCAGTTGTAAGTTTGTGACATGTTTGAATTTGTATCCATGAAATTAGGTGAGTGGTGCAGGACATAGCTACCCGAGAGCGGAAGGCTTCAACGATGCAATTGTCAGTGAAGCCTCCTGGGATCGCCCATCATCCTCTTCCTCTTCTCGACCGACACGAATACCATCTGAGAAAAATTATGGTTCAATATGAACCTCTCTGTTTCAGTCTTTAGAGAGTTCACTAAAGGAATTCGGCTGTTTGCCATTGGATCAAGGACTATAGGCAGACGCAAAAGTGATTTAGGCAAAGCTTAGTTTTTGAAGCTATCAACCTATCAGACATTACTATCCATATTCTCATAAATTGAAGGGTTGAATATTAATAGAGGGTGAGTAGTGTTTTTTCTTAGACATTTTAACAAAATGTTAGTTTTTCTAGAAGTATTAGGATTGTTGCCATTTATGGATAAAAGCATTAATAATGAGATGAAGTTTTACATTTTACCCATTAGGCTTGGCAAGGGAGAGTTGAAGCTCCTAGCATTTATGGAGTTAGTTTCAACTCTAAAATTAAGTTTTTTTAGTTTTAAGATAAAAGATGTCAATTCGTGTCAATTCAATTCAAGCACAGTTTAACGTATAAGGTACTATTGAATTAACTAGGAGCTTTAGAAATGAAAAGATTCCAAACCCAAATAGGAACCTTAGAGGGTTTGAGGGATGAGATCAAATCTGCATTGGAGAAAGAATGGCCACAAACAGTTTGGTGCGCTGATATCTTGGCTTTAGCTGCAAGAGATTCCACTGTCATTGTAAGTGCTGTATGCTTTGAATGGTGAAATGATTCTCAGTTTGTTGTGAAATGATTCTCAGTTTGTTGTGGAATTTACGTAATATATATTGAACTTGACAGGCGGGTGGACCCTCTTGGGAGGTTCCATTGGGAAGGAAGGACTCCGAGAACTGCGAGTTTGAGTGGCTCTAACAACATTCCAGCTCCAAACAGCACTTTCCAAAACCCTTCTCAATAGGTTCCAAAACCAAGGCTTTGACATCCTTGACTTTGTTTCCTTATCTAGTAAGCTTTCTCGGCTCTTCCTAACCGTATTCATTCTCAAATTTTTCTTTTATTCGACTCGAGTAAATAGTTCTTCCCTTCACTTTTTTTCATCTATTTATTCAAACACGGTAAACTCGATTATGTGTCTCAAAGATATTAATTTATCTAATTATATGTCTAAAGAGGCACAAAAAAGAAGGTCTTCATTGTTCTTACCGCTCTCCATAGTCTAAATAGTCTAAATTCCATACTCTTTTGTTGGAAAGAAAAAATCTCATTAGGCTGTACAGGAAGCATGTGTCAAAAAATGTGTCAAAAAATCTCTTCCAAACCACCAAGTGATATGAGATTAAAAACGATGGTTGGTGAGAATTGAGAATTTTTCTCTATTTTTTATTATTAAAAAAAATTTAATAGATAACTTTTTTCCATTTTTAATACCCATTCTACTAAATTTAATAATATTTCATAAATAAAAATAGAATATAATATAATATTTTATATAATTTCTAAAACTCAAATTTAAATATTATCACATAATCTTACCCATTTAAGTATATTTATTTATTTAGTGTATACATTATAAATATATAATAAAATAGTTTTATTCCTTGTATAATAAGCATGAATTATGTTTAAATTGGCATACCATTAATAAGATATAAGTTAATTTTAATAAAAATTTTAATATTTTAATATTACGAAAATGTTAGTTAAAATGTTGGCACCATTTTAACATCGATCCACTTTTTTTTTAATTCATGAAAATGCTGATCTTATCCAACTACTAAGGTGATTGTACCGTCGAGAGCGAAGCAGATCAGTATTTTCATATTGTACCGTGATGATTGGATGGGCCATTCCTTGCAGAGACGGCCCAATAATGGTGGGCCTACCTGATTCGAAAGCCCAACTAAAAGCCCACCCTGGGAATTTACCATCTGCTTCGCTCTCGACGGTAGGGTTTAGGCTTCTTCACAGAATCTGAACGACGGCGAACAATCTATGTTCCACATGAACGCACAGAGCTCATTGTCTCACTGAACTTGCCGACGGAACAACATTCACGATTTACCATACATTTAAGAGATGAGACATTTGCGAAGTATTTCCTCTCATTTATCGTGGGTTCGCAGAACTTTCGCTCACAACTCTGCCTCTGATTCTCCGTCTACTTGCAATTTAAATCTTCTAGGGTTGGAAAGATTGACATCGTTTTCATTGCTGAATCACCGGAATTACACTGTTGCTTCACCGGAATCAAAACCAGCCCCTTCAGAGAGAGTTACGGCCATTGTGGATGAGATCTCCGGTCTCACGCTACTTGAGGTTGCAGACCTTACGGAGGTTCTTCGAGAAAAGTTGGATGTGAAGGATATGCCGGTAATGGCGGTGATGATGCCGGGGATGGGGTTTGGCGGCTTGCAAAACGCTGGCAAGGGTGGTTCTGGGGCGAAAGGCGGTGAAGAGAAGAAGGCGGAGAAGACAGCGTTTGATGTGAAGCTTGAAGCTTTTGATGCTGCGTCGAAGATCAAGGTCATTAAGGAAGTGCGAATGTTTACGAATTTGGGATTGAAGGAAGCTAAGGATTTGGTGGAGAAGGCGCCAACGCTTCTAAAGAAGGGGGTGACGAAAGAGGAAGCTGATACGATTATTGCCAAGATGAAGGAGGTTGGCGCCAAAGTTTCAATGGAGTGAGGTAATGTAGTCCTACTGTTTGCAAGTGTATTTTAGAACGAGTTACATGTTTCAAACTGTATGCCATGTGTATAGACCATGTTAGCCTATCTTAGTAATTGAGCATTCATCAAGACGTTATAATGAGTTTATCATGGCCATTGGGTATGTTTTGGGGTTGTAGTCAGGGTATGGATTCATGGATACGAAACCTGGTAATCTTTAATTTTAGTCCCTATCCGTGGTAGCTTAGCAGAAGAATTTGATCCCAACTCCGGAGGACCGAATCTAGCTTGAGAGTTACAAGTATGATAATGAGTTTCTATAGAATTTTATATACTATGCCTGCGGTTCTCCTAACTTGAGGAGAGGTCCTTTATGAATTGGATTTGGGACGCAAAACTATACAGTTGAGGGTAGAAGATTATCCAGCTGTGTAAACTAGCCTGTAGCTACCAAATGGCTCGAGTGTCTGCTTTTTTTTATCTTTTTTGGATAAGAAACACAATTTCTTAATCAATGAAGCAATAAGCAAAATGTGCAGCTCAAGCCCACCGCTAGTAGATATTGTTCGCTTTAGCCGGTTAGTCATCAGCCTCATGGTTTTAAAACGCGTCGCTAGGAGAGGTTTCCACACCCTTATAAGGAATGCTTTGTTTCCCTCTCCAACCGATGTGGGATCTCACAATCCATCCTCCTTGGGGGCCCAGCATTCTCGCTGGCACACCGCCCGGTGCTTGGCTCTTATACCATTTGTAACAGCCCAAGCCACTGCTAGCAGATATTGTCTGCAGCCTCACGATTTTAAAACGTGTCTGCTAGGGAGAGGTTTCCACACCTTTATAAGAAATGATTTGTTCTCCTCTCTAACCAATGTGCGATCTACGAGGAAATGAGACGATTTGGACTATAGTTTTTTCTGACATACTTGCTGTGCTTTTATTAACTGACCCTGAGCTGGAGAAATTCTAGGACTTTGAGGTACGGAAGTGTGTGCAGTTTGGAAGTGATCAGATTTATCCAGTCATGCAAGTGTAACCTAACCTGGAGCTACACAATAGCCTGAGTATGTGCGTTTTCTCAAGGAACCAAAAAATATATAAGAAACTTCAAGAGTTGATAATAGGTAGAAGATGATGGTCCTTAAAATGCAATTCTTTGTTGAAATCTTAATTTGCTGTTGTTTGTTCATTTCATCTTCTTATGAAGATTTATGGTTATGATGCCTATATGGTCCAATAATTTTTTCAATCTTTTTTCTTTGGAGCAGAACAATTGTTAGTTGAGATAAATAAGCTCATACAAAGTAATGTTAACAAAAACCTTATCTCTATAATCTATATTCTGAAGTATAAGTAATGTTAACAAAAAAAACCTCGAGGCAATGTGTTGATCTATATTTTTGCCCTTCATAGTTTCACAAATGCCACAAAAGCTTTAGACCACGATAGTATGTAACAGCCTAAGCCTAAGCCTAAGCCTAAGCCCACCGCTAGTAGATATTGTCCACTTTAGCCCGTTTCGTAGCGCCATCGGCCTTACGATTTTAAAACGCGTCTACTATAGAGAGGTTTCCACACTCTTAAAGGGAATGATTTGTTCCCCTCTTCAACCGATGTGGAATCTCACAATTCACCCCTCGGGGACCAGCGTCCTAGCTGACACGATAGCATGTTACCTCTCAAAAACCTTATTGAATAGTCATTGTAACCTTGAACCTGTAGAGTGCCTATTGTGAATTAGTCATACTTATCAATCTCACTGAAGCATGCAGCAGCATTACACAGTTTCAAGCTGCAGAGCCTATTCTATCTGTTACTCTGCATGCTTTATTTCTTATGATTTTAGCATGGCTACTTCATTCATCATCGTTCTTATTATAATCTGTGCAAGTCACTTAATTTTACTAAATTCCTCTGCAAATATGCAACAGTACAATTCAATAACATTGGGTAGAATCATGGTATCAGTAGTAGTTGGCATTACTATTTTGTAATTTCGTTTGTTTCTTTCACCATCAGGATACTGCGGAAAATACAAAGCTTTTATGGCACTTTTCAAGTCAGAACAGCAGTTGAAGATATATAATACCATTGAGTCTTGATAATTCATTTGGCCTGGGATGAGGACATGGGATTGTTTGGGTTCCTTCAAAACATATGGAGCCTTCCTTATTAGAACTTTCCATATTTTTGCCTCTCGACCTGGAATTGTATGGGTGGATGATAGAGAGACATTTCTTGGTACTTGCCTTTTGTATTCATAGCTTCCCAATAACTTAAAACACCGTCCCTTCAAGAACAGAGTTCTCTACGATGAGTTATTTTTGTATTCTAAGACACCATCCTCTTAATGCAACTTTGTAAAACTCAAAACATTGGTGATGAAGAAGAAGAAGCCCATGTATCACCATGGCTAAACTTCTGATTCGATCGACCATTTGAGAAGTAGAAAAAGTACGTGCGAGCGGGAAATTATTGATACGGTTGAATGAAGGATTGAACCATTAAGAATGGTAATAAAAATCAATTTTATCCGAAATAAAATAGTATTCATAAGAATTATCTTTTTCAGGTATGCCTCCTATTTTCAAAGAGTTATTGTAACTTAGACTTGGTTTTTTAAATTACATGTAAAATGTTTGTATTTGGTGTGGAAATTATACTTTTAAGTTTAATTTTTGAGGATTTGTTAATACAAATAATTAATAATTAATGATTGGTAAGAATCGTAAGAGATGGATAATTTATGTTAGAGATTTCGATCCACATTTTCCTGAACTTTTGCAGACTTTCATTTTTAATCTGTCTGAATTACCCATCGTAAAGCTCCGAGCTCTGCTTTTTTCCGTCGCAACGCCGCCGAAATTTCATGCTTTGAATCATTCGTTTCTGATATTTCTCAACGTCGATGAACTGAAAGGAAACAACACAAAGTGTAGTATCTGTAATCGCGTCGCAGCCAGACATGTGGCAGTGGGAGAATGCCACCGCCGGTGCCGTCGCCGCCGTGCATCCTCTAGATGTCGTCTGCACCCGGTTTCAAGGTAGCTTACTTATGTGACCGCTCAATGTTAGCTTGCGTGTGTGACCAAAAAATCTGGTGTTTCAAGTCTTTGTACCCCTAACATTTGTTTTTGCTCCTTTGCCCTCGAAATGGCAGGTTGTGATCGCAGAGGATCCAGTCTCCCGACTTACAAGAATACAGTTAATGCAATCTTCACTATTGGTCGGATGGAGGTTTGTAGATTCAGTGTTTGCTACTCCTAATTCCGATCGTTTGTTGGCTTTTTCTACTATTTCCCCACGAATTTTGTGATCTGGGCTATACTAATTTGGTTCTTCTGTAAAAGAAATGGTAAACTTAGTGAAAGTGCCTTGAAATTTGCTTGCTTAACCTTTTAGATGAAACTTTGTTCGAATATGGCTCGCAACTCACATTTTCAGGATGAATTTTTCCTCGCATAGACCAAATTCTTCTGCCATTTGTCTTAGTATAAGACCCTAAATCCGAACCATAAACCGCATGTATAAGGAACATTTGTGGAACGCCTTTAGTATGATCCTTATACAGTTCTTCATCGACACGAGACAAAAAAGCTCTCATGACTTTACAATTTTAGTATAAACCGCATCCGATTGTAGTATAAGTATCCTTATGTGTGTCTAATCTTATCCATATCGTAATTAAATGACTCATGCTAATGCTTGAGTCCATTTTTGTGCTTTCTGACTGCCCATCATCTGTTGCATTTGACCCGTCCCACATCTGACTTATGAATATTCACTTTGCATAAAGTACATGTTGGAACACACAGCCTTGTCTCTTAGGATAAATTATAGGTCATGTTTGATAAATATCTTGTTTTGGTTTGTTATTTTTTTTAAAATTAAGCATACAAATACTACTTTTGTTCATGTGTTTCTTTGTTTTGCTACCTATGTTTTTGTCAAAATCTTCTAAATTTTGAAAACTAAAGAAGTCTTGGTTTAAAAAGAAAGTTCAAGGATACAAACTCTCAAAGGGAGTGAAGAGAACCAGCAACCAAACCAATAAGTAAAAGATTCCCAAAGGATACATACTCCCTTTGGGAGTGAAGAGAACCAGCAACCAAACCAATAAGTAAAAGATTCCCAAAGGATACATACTCCCTTTGGGAGTGAAGAGAACCAGCAACCGAACCAATAAGTAAAAGATTCCCAAAGAATATGTACTCCCAAAGGGAGTGAAGAGAACCAGCAACCGAACCAATAAGTAAAAGATTCCCAAAGGATACATACTCCCGAAGGGAGTGAAGAGAACTAGCAACCGAACCAATAAGTAAAAGATTCCCAAAGGATACATACACCCAAAGGGAGTGAAGAGAACCAGCAACCGAACCAATAAGTAAAAGATTCCCAAAGGATACATACTCCCGAAGGGAGTGAAGAGAACCAGCAACCAAACCAATAAGGAAAAGATTCTCAAAGGATACATACTCCCAAAGGGCGTGAAGAGAATCAGCAACCGAACCAATGAGTAAAAGATTCTCAAAGGATACATACTCCCAAAGGGAGTGAAGAGAACCAGCAACCGAACCAATAAGTAAAGATTCCCAAAGGATACATACTCCCGAAGGGAGTGAAGAGAACCAGCAACCAAACAAATAAGGAAAAGATTCTCAAAGGATACAATAGCCAAAATAAAACATCAAGGAATGAAGTGCCCAGGTGACAAACAAACAAAATTGTTCTAAAAGCAAGGCTGCTTAACTGAAGAGCCAGTGAAGCTAGAACCATATACAAACCAGCTCCTAAACGGCTAAACCACCGTTCATAGGACAAAACTCAGCGAGAAAGCCTTGCAGACTCCAGGAAGAAAGGCTACTCCAACTCCCTTTCAAGTCCGCGAGGAACATTGAAAGCAAACCCCTTCTCAGACAAAGGACCTGCTGCAAGCTTTAAAAATTTACAAAGGTCATCAATAATATCTGAAGAATCTTTTGGAGCTTCTGAAGTGTTGAGATCAGCAATAATGATAGGATTATTTCCCTTGATGAAGGATATAAAAGCCCTTCATCGCTTGAATCTTTGTAAAAGTCATGCAGATTCCTTTCAAAATTAGAACCAATGCTACTAACTCTACCAACTGGATCATTACTAAAATCCAAACTATCCTCCTCTAAAGCACCTTTGATATCCTCAAATGAGAGTACCAAGGGAAAGGGATCGGTCCCCTTTGAGAATTATTAAAAAACCCAATAAATTTTGTAATATCCTCAAACGAGATCAAATCTCTAGTACTAGAGGGAGGGCAACCAACTTTGAACCATCCTTGAGGCCTCTTCAGCTAAAGACAAGAGGGAAAGGCTATTAGTTAGCAACTCTTGTAGTGAACTTGTGATATAATTATCCTACTTGTGATTTAAGTACATAACTGAAATCCGTCCAAGCGATTGAGTAATTTATTAATATTTTCTTTGTTGGCTGAACATTTCATCTAGTCTTTCAAACTCCATTAAATGTTTTCCCCGTTTTATGGTATCTATGGCAGAGCCAAACAAAGATATTCAGACAATGGAAAGAACTTGAGTCCCAGGCTTCATCTTGTTTTTGCAGCAGAAGCAGGAGCTTTGGTGAGTCCAACATGAAGCTCTGCAATAGCTTCTTGGACCTTTTATGCTTTTTACGTCAAACAATTCCATTATTGCACTTTTGACTTGCTAGAAAAATGTCTCTGTCCTCATTTTATTAGAGTTTTTAGTTTTTATTATGTTAACAAGTGTGGTTCTACTGCCTCTTCAGGTTTGTTTTTTGCACAAATCCAGTTTGGCTTGTGAAAACAAGAATGCAGCTTCAGAATCCTCTTCATCAAGCACAACCTTATTCTAGCTATATGGTCTGCCCTTTTATCTTAATATGCTCTCTGGGATATATCTTATCCTAGTAAATTACAAGATCTTGTGATTTGTATTCAAGTTAAGCTTCAGTATTTCATATTTTCCCCCTTCTCTCCCACCGTGTTGTGATAATGTTTAATGGCTTATAATGATGATGATGGGATGATTTTTACTTCGAAAACTGTGACAGTTGTTAAGTTAAGCTTCAGTTGTTTTATCTAGTCTACCTTGATTTTTTATATTTATCAAAGAATGAAAGCTTTCCAAAGAAACAATTCATCAAAAAGAGAGAATAAATAAGGGAAACAACAAGAAGTCCAAACCCATTAAACCGAAGGATTTTCTAAAAATTCTCCTCTTGGTTTTGTTTAGAAAGAAGGAGTAATCACAAAAAAAAAAAGAAAAAAAAAAAAAGATATGAAGCTGAGTTGTATGCCACCTCTCTTCTTTCTTCCATCAGCTATAATTGTAGTGTAGTTATCCCCCTCGTAGATATTTCATTGCTTTGCTCTATTACTTCTTATGCATTTGATTCTGTGCACATCTATCGTGTTTAATTGCAGATGCCTTCAGAACCATCTTGAGGGAGGAAAGTTTTGCTGCTCTGTATAAAGGGATTGTTCCTGGCCTTTTCCTCGTAAGTTGTTTGGATTTAGTTTATGTTTTCTCTCAACAGTGTGATTATTTTGCTTCTCCACAGTAATCTTATTATATTACTTAGTTTTTATAACCCTTTGGTTTTGCGAGGATATCTCATCTCCCCTTTTTTTGCAATTTTGGCTCCGTTAATAGCATCATACGTTTCCTATCTATCCATCTATATATCAATACATATATGCATATTGGTTAAACTTTCGTGGCTTCCATTCATATCATTATACTCTAATGTTCATTTTATCAAATATGGGCTCTTGGGATCTGTTTTTTTATCCTTTTCTTCCTTTATTCCTTTTTTTTCCTCCTATTTCTTGTGGGGTTGTAAAAATGTTGTCGAGGGTTTTTATGGAATGGGAGAGTTTTTGTACATTTGTCATAAAAAGGCATTCTGTTGACAGAATTTCATGGAATTAGTTCATAGATGTGTTTGGTTGCTTCAGCAGGTTTCTCATGGTGCATTCCTTTTACAGTTTATGAACTCCGTACATTTATTGCCAACTCGAGGTCTGGATGGTCCAAAGTGGATGCTCAAAGTTCTGGGGAATTACTGGTACAAGTTTCTGGCTTGAGTTTACTAACACCACTCTATTGAGTTATGGGAGAAGTGGAAATGCGAGATCCCACCTCTATTTTGGAGAGGGGAACGAATCATTTCTTTAAGGGTGTGGAAAACTCTCCCTAGTGGACACATTTTATTAAAACCTTGAGGGGAAGCTCGAAAGGGAAAGCCCAAAGAGAATATATCTGCTAGCGGTGGCCTTGGACTATTACAAATGGCATTAGAGCTAGACACCGGGCGATATGCCAACGAGGACGCTGGGCCTTCCAAGGGGGATGGATTGTGAGATCCCACATTGGTTGGAGAGGGGAACGAGGCATTCCTTATAAGTGTGGAAACCTCTTCCTAGTGGACGCGTTTTAAAACCTTGAGGGAAGTCCGAAAGGGAAAGCCCAAAAAGGATAATATCTACTGGTTGTAACCTTGTGCTGTTAAAGGAAATATTTATTTGATCTAGCCTATAGCGTATAACCTTTTCAGATGCTTGTCCTCCATATAGCTAATCATACAATAGTATATTCGAGTATATCTTAGCCTCTTCCATTCACCTAGGGTATATTCTTGCAATGATCATAAATTACAAGCAACATTCAGATGACATAAAAACCATTGCCTTTTAAGAACCTTACTCCATTAGTTCTAGTTTTCGCCGCATGAAATATAAAACTCTTACTGAGTTTTTTTTCATGCAGAATTCAGTTGATTATGCTGTTCTTGGAGGATCTTCTAAAATTGCTGCCATGCTTCTGACACACCAATTTCAAGTAAATAGAAATTTGACTTATGGTATGAACTATGGTGTTGTTTTTATAGTCATTTATCTTAGCTGACTCTTGAGTGACTTGGTTCTCAAAAGAATGTCCCTGTGGCTTTGATCACGTTCATTGTGTACGAAAACGTCTTAAACTTCCTCAAACTGACAAGACAATGGGAATAAAATTTGTTGTTCCAACTATATTGCTATTTCTTCATTGCAAAAGCTGGTATTTGTATTCCAACAATTGAATATTTGATCCATTGCTTTCCTCTTTCTTCATGTTAATGAAAATCTCTCTGCTTTTTGAGATTACAGGAGGTGAAGCACAGAGCTTATGTACAAAGACATTTATAGAGGAAAAAGTCCACTGAAGTCTTGCTGAGCTCTCTCCTGTTGGATGAAATGGTGGCCTCCAATATAATAACTTCAAGGGCGGGTACGAGGCTCTTGAATACATCTCCTTCCACATATTCTTTGGTTCTCGCTGATTCGAATCCGAATTCTTTATTGTCAGGACCCCAATTTTTTATCCCGGCCATGGTTCCAGAAGCTCCCAGTTCCTGCTACCACAATAGAACGAACAAGCTTCATTGTTATCATGTTTTAAAAGCAAACGAAAAAAGAAAATCTGGTTCACATTGGGATCACCTTTGTACTTTTTTGGAAAATAACCAGACAAATAGAAATGTGAATCCTTGTTCGTTATTGCTTACATGTCCAATTTGGAGCTCCTTCTCGTTGTCTATGGTGACAGCTTCATTGGTATCTCTAGGTGATCAATCAATGATCACAATACCAGCAAGGGCTGAGATGGATTCTTCCTTTGTTACTGTCGTTCAATCGAACTAGCAATTGTTTTCTGCTCTTCCTGGTTCCTTCACAAACAAGTCATAGTATTCAGTTCTTCAGAAAAGCAATGCAGAAAACAAAATGTTTGTGCTGACATGAAACTGAACCACATGACAACGAAATCCAATTCTTTTTTGATAGATTCAGCAGATTTAGTTTGTGAAGATCTTGGAAATCAGGAAGAGCAAGATAAGGCCATCGACCTTATCAGGTCTGAACAAGCTCGTATGTCACCCAGCAATTGCTTCTCAATCAATCTATTCCCACAATGAATGCCTAATTCCCGAACAGTTCAAAAGTACTATTACAGCATAAATCTTTACACCATGTTAGGGGAAAAGAAGAACGGTGTGGGAATGGGGGCTTGGTGGCGATTTCAAATCGCCATAGCCTCTCAAATCATGGGCAATCACATGGTGCCATGGCTCGCCAGACAGGATATCTGGGGGCACCAACTATTCCAATTTCAGGTAAGTGGTGTCTCTGCCAAGGTACAACCTTACTCCATTGTTTTAGATCCTGTGGTGCTTACTTCGTCACCCATAGTTCCTAAAGCTTCCCAGAATTCTGAGTCACAATGGCAGGGTACTTTTGATTCCATCTGTTGACTTTGATTGATACTTTCTTGATATGAAATAACAAGCTTAAGAACTCCCAGGTGACCTGAGGGTGACCTGAGGATGACCTGAGGATGACCTGAGGATGACCTGAGGGAATTCACATTTCTACCCAACCAAAAGTTTCTAGCTGTATGCCTTTTTCATTTTTTGCTAATCCAAAATGAGAACAGAAAATTCTCATCTTCTCTTAAATGTCGGCCCCAGTTCTCAATCACTTGATTAAAGGATCAAAGAGAAGCTCTTTCCATAAAAAGGAATCCAATGAAATGTCTATTCCACAAAAAGAATGGGTCCTTAGAGTTTCAAATGCATGTGAACATTGGATTCTACGTTGATATTTTATAAACCAATGTCATTTAGCTAATTAAATATAGGGTGTGGAAAAGAGTGGATGGTCCAAAACACTTCATGAGTGACATTTAGAATTTTTGTACAGCTGCAGTTGTCCATGTTAGTACTATGATTATGTTGACTTTTTCATATTATATGTTCCAATCCTTTACCTTTCTCTCTTTAAAGCTAAACAAGCTCCTCTTAGAGAAGAATTATAGAGGCATGTTTATAGAAGGTTCTGTTAGCTTTCATGATTATGGCTCCTACCCTCTAATTATCATATTCCAATCAGTTTCATCCAACAAACACCATATTACTTTGTGTCTGGAACATGATTTATGAAGATTTACAGCTAATGCCTAACCTATCAACAATGAATATTATTACCTGTTGGATGATCCTATTGCAGATGGATGGACTCTTTTTGTCACTGTAATTAGCAGCACAGCAAACACAGAGATGAAGAGTGGGAAGAAAGGGACAAACCACAGTTAAGAGAAAGGACTCACAAGGTGTTTGATGAAATGCCTCAATGAAGAACGGCAAACACGAGGACAAGTACATGGCCCCACAGGCTAGATCCATCACTCACTTCGAGTCGCAGAACAGAGATTGAAGACTGTGAAACAGTGGGTGTTAAAGTACTGAAGCATGATGAAGACAAGACGAATTATAGGAAGTGATGAAAAGAAAAGGGAAAAAGGGAAAAAAAAAAAAGGAGAGATCCGGAGAGAGGTGAGGGGCTGACATTTCCGGCGCCCCCCCCCTACGGCCCAGTGGGCTTCGTTCACGTGCTAAGCTTCTGCACATGCCATTTCTAAGGTGGGTGGGTGGGTCATCGTTCAATCTAAAAATGGTGAATTACAGACCCAATGTGGCCCGACCCATGTGATCATCTGATCCATCATTCCCTCTCTTCTTCTTCTTCTTCTCCTTCTTCTTCTTCTTCACTTAACTTTATCTGTTCAAACAGTTCCATTTCTTGTCTGTTTTCCTCGTTTTGTTCCATTCCTTTCATACTTTTCTTTCATCATCTCTCAAATCCAAACTTTCCCTAACTACCAAAACATTATCAATCAAAATCTTGGGTCGGCTGATGAGTTTCAAACAACCCCACTTCCATTTTCTTCGCAAGTTCGGATTTTTATATTGAGATAACACAAAGAAACTCCTTTTCTTGCTAACCCACCACCCACGTTTTTTTCCACTTCTTTATGTGTTCAAATCCGCATCCCTCGGATCCATTTGCTACTTGTTTATTCAAAACGTAACGCTCCCAGATCATCAAATGTAAACAAAGGGGAAAGCTTTGTTAGTTAGAACCTCTCATAAGTCAAATCCAAAACTTCCCCATACAATAATCGTGTAAGCCTTAGCGTTTAGGGCAATCTCTTCTCGAGTTGACCACGACCCGTTCAAAGATAGCGACTGAGTTAAGAGTAATTTTGAGAATAGAATTTAAAATTTAACCATTGATGATCCATTTGAACATAGCTCAGCTCAATAAAATGGAGAAGGTTTTGTAATATATAAGAGGATATTGGAAAGGACAAGTGTAGTGAGGTAAAAAAGGGATTAGAATAAGAGAGATCCGGGCAACATCTAGCTAATGGAATGAAGACAAAAATGGAGAAGCGTGGCAATATTGGGCAATCCAATATGGTCACACTCACACACACACACATACACCAACACCTCATTCATTGATTGTTATAAGCCCTAGATCTTCCCAATCTCAACCCCAAAAAGATTTCCATTCCACTTCTCTCTCTCCCCCCTCTCTTTCTCTCTCTTTCCTTCAAATCTCTCCCAATCTCTCTCTGTGGAGAGACATAAAACGGTACACTGTTGTTGGCTGCATGAAGTGATTGATAGCGGAGTAAAAGTGTTGCCTTGGTTGACTCAAAAAAAAGGAAAAAAGTTGCAGCCTTTGTTTGTAGGTAGGGTTTTGCAGATTATTCAGAGAGAGAGAAAAGAAGTGAAAGGTAAAGTAAAGAAAAGAAATGGAATGGGTTTTGGGATTTTGGGTTTGGTTCCTCAGCGTTGTTGCTTTAGCTTGCCTTTTGTTCAAGAACAACAACAACAACACCAACAAGATTCATATTCAAAACAAGCCCGGAATTCCCAAAGGCAGCCTCGGTTGGCCCTTCCTCGGCGAAACCCTCGCCTTCATTGCCTCTGGCTACTCCTCCCGTCCTGTCACCTTCATGAACAAACGCAAATCTCTGTAAGTTCATACTTTTTTTTTTCCTTCCTTCTTCCCCATCAAACATTCATCATCTTACAAAAAAATTCTCCTTTTTTTTTTTTTTTTTTAAACACGAAAGTACACAAAACCCACCATCAAAATGATGAGTTCCACTATGATTCATTTAGTTCATTATTGATTCATACTTTTACCTAACAAATTTCACCATCTTTATTGTTTATTCTTTTATATCGATGCTGTGATGATTAAGCCGAGCTAGCAATTAGTTGGGTTGGGTTGTGCTGTGTTGTGTTGGGTTTCTCTTTAATTATTTCCTTTTTTTGAAAGCGCGGGAGAATGATGATCATGATGAGTATTTGATTATTTAAAGAGTTTACACGAACAGCCTCACACATGCAATACAAAAACACCAGATTCTCAAAAGGGTCAGAATTAAAAGCCTCAAAAACACCAAAACTCTATGATTTTCAACCAATTTTCATCTGGGTAATCTTTGGTTTGCGATTTTGATCCACAAAAAGTACCAAAAATTCAAGCTTTTTACTTCCATCCCATTCCCTTTCCAAAAATGTCCAAACTTGGCTTCAAAGATTTGGATTTGAAAAGGGGTTTAAGGATTTTTGGTGCAGGTACGGCAGCGTGTTTAAAACCAACATTTTGGGGACACCCATCATAGTGTCCACTGATTCAGACGTGAACAAGGTGGTCTTACAGAACCATGGCAACACCTTTGTTCCAGCTTACCCCAAATCAATCACTGAATTACTTGGTTCTTTTTCAATCCTTCAAATGAATGGCAATTTTCAAAAAAGAATTCATTCACTCATTGGAGCTTTCTTGAAGTCCCCCAGCCTCAAAGCCCGAATCACTACAGATATTCAAAACACTGTTAAACTAAGGCTTTCCAATTGGAATACCTCCAAATTGGTTTATGTCCAAACTGAAACCAAACAGGTTATTTTTGTTATTTTTATTATTATTACTATTATTATTTTGATGGGTCATGCATAAAAAGTAATGGGTTTTTATAAAAATGGTTTCTTTTTTGTTATTTTGCAGATCACATTTGAAGTATTGGTGAAGGTGTTGATGAGTGTGGGACCCGGTGAAGATTTGAAGATTTTGAAAAGGGAATTCGAAGAGTTTATCAAAGCCTTGATTTGTATACCTGTTAAACTACCTGGAACGAGGCTATATAAATCCTTGAAGGTCGGTCGGTCGGTCCGTCGGCCGGTCGGATGGCCGGTCGGTCCTTCAATTAATGAATACTGCAACTATTAATGATTTTATTAAACCCCCTTTTTCCTTAATTAATTAATTAATTAACTTGATTTTACGGCGGTTCTCCAGGCGAGAGAGAAGCTGTTGAAAATAGTCAGTAAAATTGTGGAAGAGAGAAGATCGACGGCGGCGGCGGCGGCGGCGGCGGAGGAGGAGGAGAAGATTCCACCGAGAGATGCGGTGGACGTTCTCTTACAGGATAACGATGTGGTCCAAGGGCTACCGTTGGATTTCATCAGTAGTCACATCATTGAGCTGATGATCCCCGGCGAGGAGACGGTGCCGATGGCGATGACTCTCGCTGTCAAATTTCTTAGTGACTGTCCCGTCGCTCTAGCTCAAATGATGGTACGTCAATTTTCCATTTTTTTTTATTGTGTCTTCTTGATCCAATGGCTAGGATTCAACCATGATATCGTCGATGGGTCCGGGCCGAAATACGTCGATTTCGTGTCCCGACTCCTTAAAATTGAGGTTACGAAAATGATTCTTATTCCTCCCACTATCATTTTTTATTCATGTATAATAGATCTCTAAACTTTATTAATATTAATTAAAATGGAAATGAAAGCGAGGGTTGGAGAGAGAGGGTAGTTTTGACTTTTCAAAAGGGTTGTTATGAGAGAGTATAGGGGATATTATAATCCGTAGGGAGCAAATTATAGGTGGGAGAATTGAGACGCACGTGTGAGTAGAGAGACAGAGAAAATGAGGTGAGTGGGCCACGTGGGAGGCGTGGAGGTTTCGTGGCCGTACGATAGTGAGATTGAGAGGTTGTCAGATAAAAGGACCACCAATTAACTCCTTGGCTGGGCCTCTTGGAGACCACTACCTGTCAAATTGTCTTCCCCTCCATTTATCTTTTTGCATAATTTTTTTAATTTTTTAAAAAATTTAAAGACTAAATAGATACAAATTTAGAAGTGGTCGAAGATTCCGTTATTTTTTTTTTGTAATTTTTAAAAAATTTAGAGACTAAATAGATATGATATAGTGCTTAATAAATACATGTTTGTCCCAAATTTTAATTAAATGTTGAGCTTCGTGGTGCAATTATAATTGTTAATTGGGACCCATATCTATTTCTTTAATAAATAATATTTGTTAATTAAATGAAGGGGTTTACTGTTTGATTAATTAGGAGGAGAATATGGAGCTGAAGAAGCAGAAGGATGATTCTGGGGAGGAGTACACGTGGACAGATTACATGTCTCTGTTATTTACTCAGAATGTAAGTATTAGCACTGAAAAAAGTTGTCTTTTTTTTGGTTCTTGTTCTTGGGGGTGATGATTTTGTTGCTTTTAGGTGATTAGTGAAACCTTAAGAATGGCTAATATCATCAATGGGGTTTGGAGGAAAGCTCAAAAAGATGTGGAAATTAAAGGTATGGATGGTAGGGGGAAGATTTCGTTGTTTGCTTGTTGCCTTCTTGTTTAGAATCGAGTAATATGAGATCTCACATCGGTTGGAAAGAAGAACGAAGAAATTTTTCCCTAGCAAACAATATTTGCTGGCGGTGAGCTTAAGCTGTTAAAATTGATGGTGGTTGTGGTGGGTGTGTAGGTTATTTAATACCACAAGGTTGGTGCGTTTTGGCGTCGTTCATTTCGGTTCATATGGATGAAAATAACTACACGAACTCGCATCAGTTTGATCCATGGAGATGGGAGGTAGGGGGAAATCAAAGTTTTAATATCTTCTTCCCTTTTGATCATATAATGAAATGACTGAGTGGTTGATTGATTGATTGATTGAAAAACTAAGGGAATTGGGTCTGGAAGTAATAACCAAAACTTTACACCATTTGGAGGGGGACAGAGGCTGTGTCCCGGCATTGAGCTTGCCAGGCTCGAAATCTCAATTTTCCTTCATCATCTTGTCACGACCTACAAGTACTCTCTCTTTCCCTGTCTCTGCCTTTCTCTTTTCATTTCTGTTCATATGTAAATGAAGAACTAATGAGATAATAAGAATAATAAGCAGATGGGGAGCTGAAAGGGATGAAATCATCCATTTTCCAACAGTGAGGATGAGAAGGAAGCTGCCAATAGCAATTGCAAAACATTAAGCTCTCGATCGGATTCAATCATCTCGACAACTTCGATATGGAGCTGTCGAAGAGGAAATAAGGCAAAAAAACAAAAAAGAAGTAAAATCTCAACACAGCAGGTGTAAATATAATATATTGAATGACCCAAGTTTCTTTTGTTTTGCTGTGAGATAGATATAGCTAGACAGACCCACGAGGGGTCCTCTGTTTTAAGCCATAACTGTACTGATACAGGAATTCTAGTTTTACTTTACATGGAGCACACCTCGGCTCTCTCTACCATTCTGAATTATGATTCTTGTTCGTGCGTCGCCATCTTTTTGACAGTTCAAACGGGTCCTTCCTTGTCCATTTCCTCCTCTCCTCCATTCAATAGCAGCATTCATTGTACCCAACTCAGTGTATAAAGTTCATTTGCTTTCCTTCCCTGCTCCTCCTTTTTAATTCAAGGGCTTGCAGTATATTATTCTATTCTTCACCCTTTTTTATGGGATGATCTTTTGGAATGATGCGGGGAGAACAGAGCACTTCATTTTTCTTTCTCCCCTACCAAACATGCGTGTTTGAATTGGCATTTCAATTTCAATTCAATCAAATCAGCTTATGATGGAATCAAATCAACATCACATGCATTGAAGTAATGGAAAGAAGATGATAATAATAATGGGTGTAGATTCGTACATCATTTCAATTTCAATTCTGTCAATCAAATAGGAATTTGAATGAGCTTAAGAGAGAGGCCATACCAATTACAAGGCTAAGTGGGTCAGTAGTGATATGAAGTTGGTAGAGCCCACTGGTGGGCGTGTCCTCTTCCCATGACAATCACAGTTCACATGATTCAACCATCCACCATATTACTGTCCCCCCTTTTTTGGGCGTCGGGGAATACCCAAAAATTCAGTCTGTGTCGGTGTGGATTAATTTATAGGAGAGAGAGCTTAATCTGCACTCCTCTGATCATCCTTCAACTTTCAAGTACCATTTGCTGAGCACCCGTATCAGAGATGACATTAGCAACCCAGTTTCTTCTCCATTAGTTGAAAAAAGATTTACTATCTTAAATGCTGAAGCTCATGTCTATGATGACACCACCAAAATGGCCCTACTCTTAAAGCTGTGTACTACAGTTTCATTCGTGTTCAATTCAGCAAAAGAAAAAGAATCTACTTGGGAAATAAAACTCTTTTATTGGGAAAAAAAAAAAAAGCAAACCATGCCCACACAATCTATTCCATAGATTTTTTCTTCTCGTCTTCGAGCCGTTGCAGTTCGGCCAATCTTTGAGCCCATGCTCTATCCCTTGCTACTGCAGCCATCTTTCGTTCAACTCTCTTGATCATTTTCTTTTTGTTTGCCTCTTGAAGTTGAGCTTGTCGCTTCTTTTTTTCAGCCTGCACATGCAACAGACCCAGTCTCTTGGTTATGGTAGATAAATGTATCCTCTTGGAAGAGAAATGGACAAATTTCAGAAAGCTACTACAACTCAGTAAGTAGCTAATCCAGCAAAATGGTGTGGAAACGTGCATGCGTGCATAGCACAAATTATCCATATTTCAACATCAGAAAAGGTTAGAAATATTTTCAATTGGAATATTATTGGTACCCATCTTTTTCGTTAAAGAACAAAACAGGGAGAATTTAGAGTACCAACTTAGAACTCGTGGAATTTTTAATTGCTGCACATGTTTGATGAACAAAACATGTGTATGCCAGTATGACATAGAATAGAAACTTTTTTAATGCAAATCGGAAAAATTAGAATTTTCAGTACAGCGCCATTTGGATTCATAATATCAAGAAATAAGTGTCAACATAGATGTAAGATATTTCCTCCAAAAAAAAAGAAAAAAGATAGATATAAGATGCAATATTTTATTCTATAGTCAGATGGAATCATCTAGATTGAAGATATCTACAACGGCAAGTTCCACTGTTTCATAATGCACCATTTTCGTGTAGATCAAGCACTATCCAAATTTAAATTTAAACACTTGACCATGATGCATGGAAGTAACCAAGTCGAAATATTGCCATTTTACCAAATATATATATAGTATTGGTACCATTGATCAACAAGCATGGCAAGTCTTCAATAATAACATCAAAGAAGGGAACAGACATCAGAATAATTTGATGATGCAAAAGCCTCAGATTAATTGTACGGAGTTTGTAGTCAGAATGTTTTGAAATGGAAAATCATAGTGGATGAATATGTATGCACATAGAATTAATATTTGCTCAAATGTGTATTGGAATGGTTTATAAGTAGCAAGGTCACTAAAATATTTCTATGCTTCTAAAAGAGAACAAAACCAGTTTTTTACACAAGTCAAGCAGTGCATGGAGATTTAGAACAAAGTGAAAACCTTAAATCAACATCATATTTCAAGTATAGTCATCGGACGCAAATTCAAATTTTATCCATATGAATCAGGCAATCAACATTGATGGTCCAAAAAGTAAAGAATAGTTACTAAAATTTTATCTAAAACTAATAATGAACTTAATAGCATGATCTAGTATTTGGTACATTACAAAAAGAACACCAAAGAATCATTTTTAGATTAGACAGATACAACAACACAAATACCTAATTTGTAAACAAAAGATTATGGAATATTTTCTATAAAAAATCTTGAAGAGCAGCATACTGATTCCAAAACCAAAGTAAAGGGTGTACAATATGAGATTGCCAGTTGAATGATAAAAAATAATGAAGAAATCTAGAACCCAGAAAGTTACTAGTTCAACATAATAAGACTTATATGCCGTTATAAACTTGGAAACTTCCATAATTTCAGCCTTAAAATCCCCTTCCCCTTCTCCAAACTAACTAGTAAAAACTGGAGTTCAATTATCAGAACAGGGTAGCGCAGCTCTAGCAGCAATCCTTTCTACTCAAAGTCTTGATTTTTATTAATTTTAAAAAGTATACTACAATGTGGAGTTCATAAGGCAGTTTAGCACAGATCAACATAAACCAGCCACCAATAGGCCAGGATGTCTTAATTTTCAATATGGCAGTAACTCTTCACCAACTAGAAATTGATAATACTTCTTAACATTTATACCTCAACACATAGCAATGCTTATTAGGGAGAACAACCAAATTTAAAAATAGAGCTACAAAACAAGCAAGAAGAAAGATATCGCTGAACATTCCTAAAAAGTTCATCATAATATGGCATACGAACCAGGATAAACGCGCGGCGCTGCCTAATGCGTTTCTTCTCATTCCTTCTTTTCACGCTTCCTTCATTCGGTTGATTAGGCTGAATAGGCTCCCCAGGGGTATATTTAACCCAAGCGTAAGGCCCTTCCATTCAGCAAAAAGTATTTGGAAACAATTAATTCATGTAATCGAGCTTCCAGTAAAAAGCAAATTATAAGCCGATAATCTAAACGTTCAAGAAATTCAAGTTAAACGAACCAGGGGGTCTCAAGCTGGCCCTCTTCCGACGAGGTTTATCACTGGGCCGTCTCTTCGGAAACCGAGTGTCGGTCAAACTGTTGAAATGGTTCGAAATTGGGAACCAAGGAGCTTTAGTTCCCACTGCACCAAGAGAACGGAGATTAAACCCCGATTTAGGGGAAATGAAAGCGGACGGAGATGGTGTCAGGGAAGTGAAGGGACGTGATCCCAAGGTCCTCGTTAACGGTCGGAGAGCTGATCTTAGGATTCCAAGCCCCATCTCTGTAGTTGATCGAAATGGCGGAGGGAGGTTGAGGAAGACGGAGGTAGGGATGCGGAGGCGTGCCCGTGAGGATGCGGTCGCAGTAATTCCTTTCCTGAACTGCGCGATCGAGTTTTGGGCCGTAATCTATCAGAAGCCCAGTGTGTAATGGGCCGTAATCTATCAGAAGCCCAATGTGTAATGGGCCGGACTATTCTCCAAATCAAGGAAAAGAAATAATATATATATATATATATATATATATATATATATATTTATTATTATTTTTTTTTTCCATGGGCTAGTTCCATGTTTAGTGATTCGCCTCCATAGTCCATACTCTGTGCTTCAACCCACCCTGTCGAGTCCTCCAGTGATTTTGTGTCACCTAATCTTACTCTCGCGTACCTCAGTCAATTAAACTTGAGTCATTATTGGCACCATTGATATACGCTCAAGCTTCCGACTCTGTTCTTAAAAAACAGGGGTAGAGAGTTTTGGAAAACATCTAGAAAGTAATGTTATAGGCGAGTGAATCACAGTCGTCAACAACGACATTGATAACGTATAATCTGAAGAGAAAGAATTGACAATTAAAACATTTTTAGGCATTTAGCGGGTGGACATGATTTTGATCATACACCCAAATTTTATAATAATAAAATGGTTTAAGAAAAAAAAGGTTCAAAATAAGCATACGGCCACAAACAACAGATTCTATCCTATATAAGCATAACCGTGACATTAAGCATACAGCCACAAGCAACACGTTTCAGACAAACATAGTCGTGACACTCTATCTTGAATGGTATCATTGTAATAGTTCCATTTTGTAGCTTAAGTTTATAGAATAAACCAACCCAAATGGATGGAAAACGCTCAACAGTTGAGCTGCAGTCAGTACCTCTAGTACCTCTAATCAACACAAAGAAGGGTTCAATTTCTTTTGGAAGAAGACTGCAAATTATAATTCAAGAAACAAGGTCAAAAACTGCAGTGAGATTTCAACTGGAAGAATGGTGTTTCTCTCTCAAATGTATACAAAATTTAACGATCAGCTAATCTTCTAGTTCTGATCCGTAGGCATCATCAGCTAAGGCTCTTCTCTCTGCATCCTGAAGCTCTGATCCATCACGAAAATATATCCCAGCTTGATTGAACAACGCCAGCAAATGCAGCAACTCCTCGTTGCATAACTTTGCAGGCCTCTTATCTTCAAAGCTCCCAGATTTCAAAATCTCTATGATTTTCGCCTTGAACGAATTAAACCCCTTCTCTGAAGATGAAGAACAGCCCTCTTCTTCAACTCCTTGACCATTGAAACTCTCAGAATTGGAGTTCATCAGGGCCATCAGCATCCTCTTCTGCTTGAACGTTGCCCCAAGTGTCTTATTCTTCTTCCCAAAGCAAGTTCTAGTGAAAGACCGCCATTCTTCCAGGTTCACTTCAGGAACTTCCTTCTTGGGGCGGATTATCACCACGGATGAGTCGACTTTAGGACAAGGAACAAAGTCCCTCTTGCTTACATCCATTACATGCTCTACATCAGCCACCAATTTCACATTTACAGCCAAACGATTGTACTCAGAATCACCAGGATTCGCCAACAACCGCCGTGCAAACTCTTTCTGAAGTAGAAGCGTGGCACTCCGAAATGGAATTGCCCCATATACCAATTTGGCCACAAGCGGCGATGATATCCCATAAGGGATGTTGGCCACGACGAGGTCGAAACGAGGGAACTCACATTTCAAAGCATCTTCGCGTATAACCTACAAAAAAACCCCCACTCCCACATTTCAAAGCAGTTTATCCTCTGTCAGACATTTCATCGAACACATAGACAGCAATATTAACTTACACAAATACGGTCTTCAAACTTATGCTCCGCCACGCGTCTGTGCAGAACCTCGACCATTCGTTTATCGATTTCAATAGCTATGACCTTTTGTGAAGCTTCCAGAAGCTTCAATGTCAGATTTCCGGTGCCGGGTCCGATCTCCAAGACCGTGTCGGTCGGCCTTATGGCAGATTTTCGAACAATAGAGCCCAGAATTCGTGGGTTCGTGAGAATGTGCTGGCCTCTACTCTTGTAGAAATACAATTGAGGTTCTTCGTTCCCATCTTTCTTGGGAACGTTTTCTTTCCCGCCATGGTTTCTGTGATTGTATTGATAAGAGGATGCCGAGCGTTTACAGTGAAGGAATTGGTCGTGGTTCAGGCCGTTGATGAACCTGCATAGATTTTTATGGGGACGAAGCATTGGGGTTTTCACTATTCGATAGGAATCAGAAGCAGCAGCACGAAGATTTGCATAAATTCTCGAAGCTCAGTTGATTCCAAAGGTGCAGGAGACACCGCTCGAACCAGTCGGCAAATTGCAATGCAATTGGCGTTCGTGTAATTGTAGCCCAAATTGACACATATACCCCCATCAAAAAACCTTTATTATTATTATTATTATCTTTCATTTTACTTCACTTTTAGCTTCTTAAATTTAATCTATATATATAGATATATATATATATCACCATTCTAATGCCAAAATTAATACCATGCTATTCGAAAGAATATAGATAATTTTTAAATAAATGGTAAAATTTTAGTATATTATTATGTATTAGATTTTTTTATTTTAAATATTTTATAGATAGAATTAATATCGGATCAAATAGTAAAATGTTTTAATTTTTTAGTATCAATATTTTATGATAAATAAAACTATGATTAATATGTTTATAAGTTTAAATTTCATTCGATATCTTATAGAATCGAAAATATAAATAGACTCGATGTTAAACTTAGAGTATAAGAAATAAAAGGAAAAAAATAATTATTTGTAAACTCCAATGTTATGTGAATGAACATGGAACAGAAGAGCAATGATTGGATGTAATTTTATGTCCATTCGAATGTAGAACGCGGTTGAAACTACATTTTATGTCCATTCGAATGTAGAACGCGGTTGAAACTACATTGTCTTATCTTTTATGTTTTTATTATATTCATCTATTTTTTTGTGTTTGGAACTTATTTTTAGGACAATAATTATGGGATCGTGAAACTATTTAAATCTAGCGTGACAACCGGTGTCTTATTTATCTCTAAAAGATATTTAATTCAATAATTTAGAGAACAAAAACAAATATTATTATCAAATATGTTTTATGGTCTTTATTTTTTTTTAGGAAATAAGAAACAATTACTAACATAATTATATTTTTACTTATTAAAAAAGTAAAAATAAATAAATATTATAAGGGTATTTTTATCTATTTCAGGTATCGTGCATTTCAAAACACAAATATTCATTATTTATGTATTTAAATCACTAGTGTTTAACTCATTTAGAAACACATTTCATTATCTTGCCGCCACTTCTCCCAAAATGATTGAACGTCTTAATTATGTCGTCCGGTTAAATAACAAAAAATTAACTACTAATTAAATTAAATTTCTGTCAGCCATTTAATCGAAATCTCATTCCATTTTTTAACGGGGGAGAAACAAGCCACTCAAACCAATCAAATTCTCAACTTTTATTTTTTATTTTAATTATTTAAAAAAAAAAATATCCTTATCTATCCTACCTATTACAATGATAATTATAAAATAAAAAGAATAAACTTTAAACATTCACATGTTACACCACATCACTACGGTTTATTATAGTCTTTAAATACTCATAATCTTGCGTACGGTAGAGTAGAGTTGAGTCGATTGGGTTGATTTGTAACTTTATTTTCGAATTAATCGGGTTGATCCAATAAATGAATGCCAATCAAACCTAATTTTTTATTTCTTAAAAATTTAACTCAACAACCTAATTTTTTATTTTTTTAAAATTTAATTCAACCCAAACGAAGAAAGAAAAAGAAAGAAACAAAAATTAATCCAACCCAATTTTTATAGCTTTAATTAGGTAATCCAAAGAGTTTTAGTTACCAGTAATATGAACACAACTAGACAAATCTACCACGGTAAAAAAAAAAATCCTAAAATCAATGGGAATGGGATTAACATATTATATTATTCAAATTTAGGCTTAGATCATTTTATATAAGTTCTATTTTGAGGTAAGTTTTGAAAAGAGGGTTTGTTTTTATTTCTAAATTAAAAATATTTTACTTTTATCAATACTTTTGGAAATAAAATTATTTTAAAAAAGTACATTAAAAAACAAACTAATTTCTTTAGAAAAACAATATTCCAAGAAAGTTCTATCTTTAATATATGCTTTATCTTTATTCAACAATCTTTTTGAATTTTTGGATCAACTTTTAAAAAGCAGCCCTCAAGATCATTGTATTATAACATAAAATTTGAAATCAAGAGTCCAAAAACAATTAAAATTTGAATTTCCAATTCTTCAAATAATTTAAGAAATCAATTTACTCCTAGTATAATTTATAATTGAGTTCAAATAATTTGTTATTATATATATATATATATAAAAGGGAAATGAACTAATTTTAAAAATTCAAACTTTATTAGCAATAATTGAAAAATGAGATCCATTATGTAAGGCAACATGAAGGAAATTTCCCAAAATACTAGAATTGAAAGAAAAAAAAAAAGAATTATAAATGTGGGTACCCATAATTTGGACCCCTTAAACTTTATAAACAGGGAAAGAGGAAGAAAGAAAAAAGGCAAGGAATCCAATCTCTTCACTGCCGTGTGGCGTGGCAGTGAAGCCACAAAGGCCGAACAAAAGGGCGCGCGCGCCAGGCCAAAGGCCAAAAGGCCAAACAAAAGGGCGCGCACGCTAGGCCAAGGGCCAAGAGGACGAACAAAAGGGCGCACGCGCCAGGCCAAGGGCCAAGAGGCCAAACAAAACCGCGCGCGCGTGCCATGGCCAATGGCTATGGCCGAGAGCAGAATCAAAATCAATGAACGATGATGACATGAGGTGCCGTGGTTTGTGTGCGCCACGTTCACCCAGGTTTTTAACCTTTTCTATACTCAGCTATGTGCCTATGTGGTATATGAGATTAAAAAAAAAAAAACCTTTTATAACTTAACACTCCTGAATAAATAAAAATTTAGTAATTTTATATTTTATCTTAAAAAAAAAAATACTCTTCCCCTCTCAAAAATTT